TTCTTTCTTTCTTTCCTTCTTCTAACAACAGCAGCAAAAAAAGGCTGTAAAAAGGGGCAAAGCTGATTTAACACATGTCTCACTTAGCAACATAAATTTGTTGGCTCTATTGCAGTCATAGGTGGAGGATTAAGTGTACTACATGGGCAGCAATGCACAAACCTCAGCTGGGTGACTTTGGCCTGATTCCTTTCTTTCTCCCTCTCTTTCTCTCTCCCTCTCTCTCTGTCCATCTCCCCCCTTCTCTCCATTTCTCTCTCCATCTCTCTCCCCCCCCCCCTCTCTCAGCCCACCTCACAGGATTGTTGTAGGGAAAATAGGAGGAGGAAGATGCGTTGGATACGTCTATGGAGATTCTCAGCCATCCAGGGCACGGCTGTCTCAAAGGTGCTTTTTTTCCCTTCTTCTAGAGACGACTGGACTTTCTAGGTTTTTTTTCCCTCTGAAGATGTTTTGCTTCTCACCCCAGAAGCTTCTTCAGCTCCGAGAGAAGCTGAAGCAGCTTTTGAGAGAAACCGAGGAAGCTTCTGGGATGAGAAGCGAAACGTCTTTCAAGAAAAACCAAGAAAGCCCAGTTACCTCTTGAAGAAAAAGAAAGAAAAAGCACCTTTGGGACGTGTGTTGGACATGTTTGCTACCTTGAGCGATTTGCAAACAAATCGTAAAAGATAGGTTACAAGTCAATAAAATAAAATAAAAAAAATGCATCGTCTGTTTAGGCAGCTGATCAAAACTTCCCCCAAGGACAGATTGTGAGAAGGAAGTGCTGGCGTGACAAGAAGGTGTTTTACAGAGGCTCACTATCCCTTTTCTCTCCTGGTTGACAAGGCCTTCAATTTTTTTAAAAAAAGCAGAGTTTTGCAGGCAGATTGCTACACCTCTACACCACCCCCCAACAAGCCCGCGTGTGTGTTTATGGTTCTCAAGTGTGACCACTTTCTTCTTTTGAAGGCACCATCCCCTGCTGGGCCAAACAGAGTCCCAAAACAAAAGCAAAATACACCTTTTTGCATTTCGGCAGCAAAGGGAGGAAAGAAGAAAAGGGACAGGGGCCAGAATACGAGGGATTGGCGCTTACACAAATATCCTCTTTAATTGTAAGGCAACCTGGTGGAGAGAGAGAAAGCAAATCTCCCTGCAGTCAAAGAGCTAGCTGGTCAGTTTGTTTGTTTTTATTTCCCAGGGAGGCCTGTTGCTGATGGACTAGCTCTCGGTTTGCAAGGAAGTGCCGTTTTTCTCTCTCTCTCTTCCAGCAAGCTGCCACTAGACACCCTTTGCCACCTTTCTACTTTGCAACAGAAATGCAAACACCTCCTATCTCCCGTTGTCACCGATTCTCACGCCGTTGGGGTAGGGCTCAAGTCTTGCGGGCAGGGAGCAGGGAAAATCTTCGCCCCTGCTCCAGCCTGACAGCTCATTTTTAACCCCTCCGCCCCCAATGGCACGGAGAGGGCAGCTTTGGAAAGCCAGCGGGGAAACCCCCCACCCCCCCCACCCTCTCCATACACATAAGGGGAGGGATTTAAAAAAAAAAACCCACGTTCTCTCCCATCTGCTCCCTGGAAGCCACGGAGAACAAAGGAACCGGCGGGGCGGGAGAGGGAGCGAAGAGACTAAAATGATCCGGGGGTGGGTGAATGGGAAGAGGGCCAAGGAAGGAAAGGGACTCCAGCCGAGGGTTCAACCCTCACCCCCTCCCCACGGCTGCGGGAGAGAGTCTGGGAAGGAAGCTGCCTCTTCCAACAGATCGGGAAGAATCCGTAGGGAAGGAAAGCGCAGCCCCGCCACCCATCAGGGGAGCCTGGATGGGGGCGCAGGCCGGCCTCTCAAGGCTGGGGAGGGGGAGAGGAGACGACGACCCCCTCCCGGGAGAGACCCTCCCTCTTGCCCGGCCTCGGCGGAACTTACAAAGCGGTTCAGCTGGCGGCGCAGCATGGTGGAAGTGCCGCAGCGGCGGGGAGAGCCGAGGGGCGCGCAGGAGCGGCGCAGCGCTGCGCTGCGGGCCTGGCGGGCGAGGCGTGCCCAGCCTGGGCGAAGAGACCCGGAGCGGCCCGGGCCGGGTTCCCACCCCAAGCCTCCGCTCGGCCCCGGGCCGGGGTCACCGGCGGCGTGGCGGCGCGCTGCCTCTTTTCCGCATCGTGCAGCCTTCTTCTTCTTCTTCTTCTTCTTCGCCTCCTCCTCTTCCTCGCCTTGCCGAGCCGCAGCCCCCTTGCAGGAGCACCGAGCCGAGTCAAAGAGCTCAGGCTGGCCGGAGGCGACTGCGGGCCAGCATAGCTGGAGAGGCGGCGGAGGGGGCGCCGAGAAAGGCGCGCTTGCTTTCCGTGCAAACAGGAGGAGGAGGAGGAGGAGGAAGAGGAGGAGGAGGAGGAGAAAGGCGGCGTTTCGGAGGCCGGAACGCCGCCCTGCAGGCTGGCCGAGGCTCAGGCGAACTCTGCTGGCGGAGGCGCGGCTCCCCAACCCGGTTCGTCCCCTTTTGGCCGGGCACCTCCTTCCCAAGCGCGCCTGGCGCGCCGCCCAGAAGCTCCACAGCCTGCCCACCGCTTCTTGGGGCGGACCCTCGCCTCTACTCGCCCCGTCCTGGCTCGTCCCGAGCCGGGAGGCAGTTTGGGGAGGTGTGGCGCGGGGGTTGCTGTCCCGGGACGCGCGGTTTGGGATTCTCTCCCTGCGCCTTTCTTGGATCGCCCCCGTGCGTAAAACTGGAGAGCTGCGCCTTCGGGCAAGGATTTTGGCCGCACGCTTCGCCTCTCCCGCTCGGGAGCTGTTGCTCCTCGTCGCGGTGCTGACCCTCGGCAGCCGAGCCGAAATTGATTCGGTCCGAAATCGACAAAAAAAGGAAAGACTCGGAAGGTGTCCCAAAGGTTTTGTTTTGTTTTTTCCCCAAGAGGCGACTGGACAAAGAACTGGGCCTGGCTAGTCTAGTGAAGAGAAGGACCAGGGGAGACAGGATACCATCTTCCAATATTTGAGGGGCTGCCACAGGGAGAAGGAGGTCTATCCAGAGATAGCAGCAAAATACTTGCAGCTTAGGGATGGTTCTGGGTGAGAATTAATCCCCTGATGTGCAAGTGAACTGGGTGGCTGAGTTACTGGAGGTCTATTTTTAAGTGAGAACTTAATTTCAGTGAGAACCGAAGAAGCTTCTTGGATGATAAGCAAAACGTCTTGATGGATGGTTGCAGGAACTGGGCTTGGCTAGTCTTAGTGAAGAGAAGGACCAGGAGAGACAGGAGAGCATCTTCCAATATTTGAGGGGCTGCCCCAGAGAGAGGCTGCCCATTTGCACCACAGAGGTGACTCTGAAGACACAGATAAATAGCCAAGTGCTTGGATGACCCTCCGAAAGGATCATTTAGGTGCTTCTTCCTCTTTCACTGCCCAATGAGCAGATTTCCCTGCCAACCCAGAAGGGCCATAAATCCACACTTGTTAACTTGCCCGGCCCAAACTGTGCAAACAAACCCTTGTGAATCATGTATTTACTCTGTCTTCCAAGAGACCCAAAGCTTTAACTTTCTTGGAGCGATTCCTCAAGTTTTGATCTAAACTGAAACCAAGCCTTTTTGCCTAAAATGCTGCAAAATTTCCAGGAAAAGGAGTCGACCAGAAACGGAACTCGAGACCCCGGCACGGGAAGAGCAATAATGCTTCCTTACTATCCAGCTTTCTCTAGGCAATTATTTTTATTAGGGTTGGTACTTGAATGTTGCAGCAAAGAAGAAATACATTCAATTATTCATATATTAACAGCAGCTAGGATTTTATTGGGTCAGCACTGGAAAAGCGATAAAATACGAGCAGAAGGGAAAGTGACTGAGAAAATATTGGAATGTGCAGAGATGAATAGATTAACATTGGCAATTAAAGGTAAAAAAGAGGAAACTGAATATTACATGGTATGGGATCTATTTTATCAATGGTTGGGAAAGAAAACAAGTTAAAATGGAGAAGATGAATATATAGAGAGAAATAAATTCCAAACCCTAAATCTGGGGCTGGGAATCCATAGCTCGAGTGATTATTTCATCAAGGCAGAATCTCCTTACAAAACTGGGAGTGTTGATTCTACAATGAAGACCCCCTCCCAAAGGATTAAAAGCCATTCCCTTTTTTTTCCCCCTCCTAAAAGGAACACACACAAAAAAAGGGAATAAGCTGATAAGGAGGCAGCCCAAGTGGAAGAGAGAAAGTGGAAAGGAATCTTTCTCATTATCTAAGATTGAGAGGGAAATTCTCTTTGGAGAATTCACAGGTGTGGACAAAAGGCCCTCCACGCACACTCCTCTTTTTCTTAAACACAACCCACCATTAAAACCCTGTTTGGAATGCGGCCAGGGTCAAAAGTTTAATTGGGATTTAAACGGGGAGGACCCAAACATCATCTGGTCTTTGGGGGGAAGAAAGGTGTTCAAATGCTAATCTCTGTGTGAATTGCAAAATTGGCGGTGGTGGTGCAGCTTCCTAGGACTTTTTGCAAAGATTTCCAAGGGGTTTTAGCAAGTCCTTCTTGGAACCAGATGGGCTGGGCCCCTTCTTCTGGATTCTTGTTTTGCTCAGATGTACCTTGGCCTTGTGGTCCTTTGACCTGCATTGTAGGGTTGTAGCTCCCAAGGACCAGAATGTTCTGTCCTATTAGTCTTCCTCAAGAAGCACTAAGCCAACTCTTGAGTCCCAGCAAAATCTCTTTTATTAAATGAATGTGGATTTATTGCAATCACATTCGGCCAACGGCCTGGCAAACAGTCTCGCAAAGGTGTAATCTTTAGCTCAGACCTTATCTATCTTGGAAAGCTGCCCGGTAAATATTTCCACACGCAGTGCTGACAGGAAAGGGCTGGGCAAAGAGTTTCTAGGTTACACAGACAAACCTTCACGAGGCTGGAACGAATGAATGAACGAATTGCTTCCTGCAAAAGCCCCCCTCCCCTTTTGCTCCTCCTTTAATCCTTATGGGAGGAGGCATTCATCATCCACCTGTGGCCTTACTCCCATGTTGACCCTGAGTTCTTCATTGTTCCTTCCTTTTCGCAGCTCTGTGCATGCGCAGGCTGGGAACCGGTTCCAGAACCTCCCCTGCCTCACTGCTGTCTGAGCCCGAAGGCAGCTGATGACTGCCAGCCTGCCCTGGCCCCATCTCTGCCTCTGATGCAGAGCCCTTGTCCAAGCCTTCCTCAGCCTCCAGGACTGGCCCAGGTTCCTCCCCAGCCTCCTTGCTGTCCATCTCTGCTGCCAACTCCATCAACTGCCGGTGGGACTCAAAGGACTCAGAGAACCACCATCAGTGGCTGAGGAGGAACTAGGAGGAATGATGGTGTGAAGAAGCAGGAAGAGGTGCCACCTCAAGAAGGTCAACCTATTAGAAGATGTCCTGTTTGGGATCTTCTCCAGCTACAGGAGGTCCTGGTTTCCGGTCTCCTCCATTGGGCAGAGATTATGCTGTCAGAATGTTGTTAAGAATGCTGGGCGTGTCATGGATTCCCAAGACAAAGTCGCTATGAAGTCAGCATGGGGAGAAGTCAAGACTGAGGAAACCATGACCAGCTATTCCAATACTTTCCTACTTTTCTCCATCTTTTTAAGACCACACCTATGTCAAGGTAGGGGACCTCAGAAGGGGAAAGCAGGCAGAGAGAGTCTTCTGCTTGGCAAGTCCAATCATAGCTACTGGACCACTTCAGGTCTTCAGATGTTCTAGATTGCTGCTCTTCTGATCTAGGCTTCCCAAAAGCACAAAGCCAACTCCTCGTTCTGATAAAAACCCCTATATATAGTTTACAGTGAATTCCTCTCCAGCAAAGTCCTGGCCAACAGTCTTTAAAGTGATTTCACAATTACAGACCTTTATCAGGCTTGGAGAGCTGCCAGGCTGATATCTTCCAAACGCCCTATTGTAGCAGACAATACCTGGCAAGAAGTCAGGAACAGATCTTCACCCTAATGAATTGAACGAATGGTCTTCTGCAAACACCACTCTGTTTTGCTCCTCTTTATTCCCTATGGGAGGGGCCATTCACTGTCCACCTGTGGCTTTACTCCCGAGTCGACCCTTGTTCCTTAGCTGTTCCCTTCTCCTGGCAGCTCTGTGCACGAGCACACTGGGAACAGGCTCCAGCTGTTCTTCTGCCCCGCTGATGTCCCACTCTGAAGGCAGCTGATAACTGTCAGATGCCCCTGGTCTCATTTCTGCCTCCGACACAGAGCAGCCTTCCCCAGACCCCAGGACTGGCCATGTTCCTCCCCAACCTCCTCACTGTCTGAGTCTGCTGCCAGCTCCACTGGCGGCTGGTAGGTCACAACATCTGCTTCCAGGAAGCCATTTGGCCTCCAATGTCTATGAAGATGGGGTTTCCACAGGATGTGGTCAAAGAAAGTCAAGATGGGGCCCCCAATGGTGCAAGGGAAGCTTTATGGATGTGGCACATAGGCACAGCAGATAACCTTGTATTGAATGAGGTTGTGGAATTAGGAGGTATGTAAGCCTACACATCTCTCTTGACCCGATATGAGATGAAGTGTCATGGCTTCCTTCTCCTAAAGCAGGGGTCTCCAACCTTAGAACTTTTAAAGCTTGTGGACTTCAACTCCCAGAATTCCTCAACCAGTTTTTCTGGCTGAAGAATTCTGGGAGTTGAAGTCCAAAAGTCTTTAAAGTTGCCAAGGTTGGAGACCCCTGTCCTAAAGGGTTTGGGGACGTGGGTCTTCATTAAGGTTATAGAAGTTCTCACTATTAGAGAGCTCTGCTAACACCAAGAAGGGGGCTTCAATCAGAAATCTTGGCCAGTGAAGCTTCCTGTAACACTAGTATAAATTTTATATAAATTCAGACAAAACTGAACCTGGCTGAATAAAGGCTTTGCAACCCAAAGAGTCCGTTCCCAACTTTTCCTAATACAGCAGGAGAAGATTCCTGCTTATTTACATTCCTGGGGTGGATGGACCAAAGGCATTGCTGGGAAGGATGCAACTTCCTGTAGTCTTCCTCAAAAGACACATATAGTGACAAGACTTAGCAGATGGCAACATTAGCTGGGCTTGGAAGCTAAGTAGGCTGGGACTAAGTTAATTCCTGGATTGGAGACCAGGAGCAAATTGAAGACTAAGGCCTTTACAAGAAGTGAAGAAGAAATCCCTTCCATAATGTGGTTGAGAAAATTGCCCAGATGTGCCATGATGCCTCATGAGGTCAGCAGGAATGGAACTTCACTGGAGTATATCTTCATTTCTATAGCCAAATCAGAATGGTCCACTAGAAGACTAGAAATCTCAGAATCACTCTGATGGTTCCATCTCTGGAACTGGTCATTAGGTGGATACCTTGGGTGAAGTTGT